CATATAGAACACAGGTCTACTCTGACACACATGGGGTCACCATGAGTAGGAGTTGACTCAGTGGCAACTGGCTAGTGGAAAAGTGGTAGAAAGTTAGATTTAAGTTTCACAATTTACAATACTTGAAAACCAAGTGTATTCCATGGACAATGGCAAGCCATGAAGGATTTTCAAAGTGGAAAAGGGTGTAATCAAATCAAAGCTCTAGGAAGATTATTTTGACATCAGAAATTAGAGTAAATTTGAGTGATGTGAGACTAGGGGTACAGAGAGCAGTTAGGAGGTATCTGTCCTGGAGAGAGTACTCAGGGTCTTCTCTGTATACTTGGGCTGGCATTGGCAGAAGGTGCACAACACAAAACTAGAGGGGAAGGATCAGCCAGCCTTGGTTGTTGATTTGGTTCTCAAGATTACCTTCAAGCGTTTTAGCAGGACTAATTCTGAGAATGACTATAGCATAAAAAAATGGCAAACACAGGGAAAACAAGTTTGTGCAAGAGAAAAAATTATGAGCAATTTTTTGGACATAATAAGCTTAAAATACCATGTGAATGGGTCAAGTAATCAATTTGTAATGTGCATGAAGAGGGACTATGGGGGACTTGGCTGCCTATTATAAACACATAAACATAACAATTTGAAAAACATATAGGTAAGCTCATGAAAGAAAGGAAAGTTACCAGGTGTCATAAAAGAAAAAGAGGTAAGCATACAAGGTAATGCCACAATGGCACATGGGGTTTTCTAACCCAGATATAATCCCCTAGAGGCTTGGAAATGGGATTTTAATGTCCTTGTGGGAAAATATACATGCTCTCCTAAGGCGTGGATTTGGAACAGAGTATTTCATGGAGTCTGGAATACCTTCCTGCCAGTGCAAAGTCACTGGACCTGTGCCAAACATAGTTATGGGTTGTGGATTTATGACACATGAGTATTGTGCAAACGCAAAAGGAGAAATTAAGGTAGAAATTTGTCAAGAAACTGGTAAAATCCCTAGGGCAAGGACAAAAGGCAATCAAATCACCTTTGTAGAGGCATTTAAATAATCCAGGACTCTCATAGAACTCCTACAGAAAGTAAAATCACCATGAAAAAGAATGCGTAATATAAATTATAAACTACATTTGAAAACAGAGTACCCTAAGAGAAAAACAGCAAAAAGCAAAACAAAACACAACTTTAGCTGAACAGAAGACAATAGAACAATCTTTTAAAAAATTGCAAAATAAGCACTTAAAATGTTTATAGAGGCAAAAGAACATAATAAAATGAGTCTTCATGAAAAAAGAATGAGTGTTTGAAAAAAGAAACAAATATTATTTATAGACATAAAAATGTATTCATTAAAATTAACAATGAACCAGTGCATTGAACAGCAGATTACATACAACTGAGGAAAGAAAGTTGGATTTGAGGAATTACAAGAATGAAACTCAGAGACATAAAGTAATAGAACATTTGAAAGCGAGATTAAGAGAGAATTCCTAACGGGATTTCCAGAAGGAAAAAACAGAGAAAGTAGATGTAAGAAATATATTTGAAGAGCCGATACCTCAAGAATTTTGAAGAAATGAAGAAATGCATGAATGTTAAAGATTGACCTATAATGAATCCTGAGATACGTCATGGTAAAATGACAGAGTCTTAGATGCAGATAGTCCTAAAAACAACTAGAGAAAGACTGTAATTTGACTGACAGCAATATTTTCATCAGCAACAACTAGGGCCAGAAGACAGTGAAATAGTATATTCAAAATGCTTAGAAAAAATAACTAATAATCTAATAAACTAACATTCAAGAATGACCATGAAATAAAACCATTTGCTAACAAAATAGTTTGCAAAATTGGCCCTTCCTGAAAGAACTACTAAAGGATGTAGTTTAGTAAAAAGGACTTTGAACCAGAAGTAAGGTATGAGTGGGATGTAAAAAGAAATTGAGAGATTGGGGCTAGAGGATTTAGCACATTAATAATAATTTGGAATAGGCCTGTGAAAAGTTTAATTACACCAGGCAATCTAAGATGAATAAAAATGTTGTTGAATAGCAGCTTGTAGATTCATGAGGTTAGATATTACCAGGCCAGTGTGTGTAATGTCACTTTTTACACAGGGAGTCAATATAGCAATCCAAGTGAGGCAGTGTTGCTAATAGTTGAATGGTTTGCAACCTTGGCATCATAATGTAACTTTAAAAAATATTTTAAAATATTGATGGTTGAATTCCATATCTTCTGATTTAATTCTTCTGGAGTGTGTCTTCAGCATCCAGATTATTTTTTAAGTTCCCTAGGTGATTCTGTGCAGCCAAGGTTGAAAACTACTGTAATAGATTGTTAGAGAAGAGCAGATGTTCAGAAACTGACTTTAGCCACTCGTCAAAGCAGCGGGTCGACCTCTTTCTGATTGACCATGAAGGCCTTTTCACACTTGAGGAAAGAATCTTCACTTTAGAGCGGGGGTCAGCAAACTTCTTCTGTAAAGGGCCAGTTAGTAAATATTTTAGGTTTTCCAGGCGAGATGATCTCTGTCACACTACTCAACTCTGTGGTTATGGTCAGGGATGGATTACCCAATAGGCAAGGTACGCACGAGTTTACTTGTGCTTGCTTACTAATCTGCAGTGCACACTTACAAAGATGTGGTGAAACCCATGTGAAATTAGACACTGCAGATTAGTAAGTAAACACAAGTAAGCCCATGCATACTTGGCTTACTGTAAGCATGTGCATACATTGCTTACTGGTTATTCCACCTCTGATTTGTGGTGCTGAAGCAGCCATAGATAATATGTAAGCAAATTGGCATGGTTGTGTTCCAGTAGAACCTTATTTACAAAAGCAGATGATGGGCCAGATTTGGCCTATGGGCCTTAGTTTGCCAACCTGCCCTTTACAGTCTTAAATTACAGTTAGGGAAACATAATTGAGAACCATTACATTCATTTTAGAGCAAGTAGCTCCTTGTGTGAATAGTCCAAACAGGTGTCGACTCACAAGCCTGTAGAAGAAAATATGAAGATAAAATGCAAAACAGTGTAAAGACCTGAGAGGCCACAGGTCACTAGAGGGTAAACTTGATTAAATGAAAATGCAAGCAGGGACACTAAGTCTTATAACAATAGGGGGTAGTTCTCACCAAGTAAGAAGTTGAGAATGCAGAAGAGGTTTCCTTGCTTGTTTCGATTGGCTTTTGTTTGCCACGTTTAGAGGAGAAATATGAATGGATGGCTGGGATTTTCTCTTTATTCTTATCTAGATGTTTTGGGCTCATAACAAATATATACTATTTTATCTGAATTGAGAATACTTGCCCTTTCCTAGCCTTTCTAAAGTGTTACATTAGCACAGGAACATTTCTTTCTCACATCTCTGGATTAAATTTGGACAGATTATCCTAAAGACAGATGCCATTGTTAGAAGAACCACAAAATAAACTTAAATTATAGTAATTGGCAGGAAGGAGGTATGAGTTTTCTGTGCAGCATAATTGTCAGATGTTCCTTAAATTTGTTCTCTTTCCTCCTTCCCTACATCCCTGTCCTCATAACCACTTGCCTGAATTATAGAATTTCTTAATTTATTTTAATCCCAAAATATAACTTTTATTCACATTTAATACTTCTGAAATTATGTTACATCTTAGAATCAATGATATATATATTGAATCATTGACTATATATTTAATTTTTACCCTGAAATCTGTTATGAAATTCATAGTGTATTTCCAAATCAATAGCATCTTAGAATCCAAGAAATATGGTATTATCTTGTCTCTTACTTTTGCCTTCATCCGTCCTCTGGCAACCATTTCCAGAGTCCAAAGAATTATATTTATGGAAATCAAATCTATTCTTGTCACTACCTTATCTAATAATTTTGAGTCCCCCCCCAAATTAATGTGGTCTCAAAGTCCAGACTTCTTGGCATGACATTCAAGGGCCTTGATATCTAAAGTCTTTTATATTCTGGCCCAAAGAACTAGACTCTGGCCTTATTCCCCACCACTCCTTGCTCCCTCATGTGGATTGCCTCATTCCCGACAACATCAGAGAAATGATGCATTATTTTAATACAAGTATCGCAAAATCTCTGAGGAAAGTTTAAAAGAAATTGGATTGGTGTTGAACTGAAAATAGCTGAAACAGGCTTTTCCTAAAGCTTAATAATTTAAGATGGCAATGGATCATTGTCCTTGCAAAAAAAGGTTTGACTTTTTATATAAGAGTGAATTGCTGAAGAAGCTTGCAGAATATCTTTATTTGGAGCACTTAAAACACAGACTAGACACTTTTCTGTTTGGAATGATTTAGATATACCCATGAGAGATAAACAAGATGAACTCTGAGGTTGTGGCCAGTTCTAGGAGTTTTGGGGGGTGATTAATGACTGTATCTAAATGAGGCCAAAACATCCAGATGGGAGTAAAGAGAGAAATTCAGTTTGTCATCTACATACTGTCTATATGATTCCAAAGACCTGGATACTTAACTGTTGAATGCACATAATTAGTTAAATAAACTATGCATTTTACTGGTATTCTACATTTTAAATATTATTACGTTGCTATGTGCGGCCCTGGTGGTGCAGTTGTTAAGCATTTGACTGCTACCCAAAAGGTCGGCAGTTGGAATCCACCAGCCGCTCCTTGGAAACCCTATGGGACAGTTCTACTCTGTCCTATAAGGTTGCTATGAGTCGGAATCGACTCAACAGCAACGAGTGTAGTATAAACAAACTCACAATATAAACACCTGTTATTTCATCCCTATCATCCATCAAATAACATGTATCAAATTGTAATTATCAGAGAGATAAAAATAGGAGTTCAATTGAAAATTGTTTTGGCTTGTCTGAGGATGAAATAATAATGAACACATAGTGTAAAGTAAATTTTCTTGATGCTCTTTAGGCTATTTCTTCATTTAAAAAGATGGAAATTAAGATATGACTTATCCACTAGATGCATATTTATATGGCTCTGTATTTTAAATTTAGGTATGTGTCTTGTGCCCTGGGCTGCCCCTATGAAGGAAACATCAAGCCGCAAAAAGTGACAGAAGTAAGATGCATCTCTGGTGTTTTCTGGTTGATAGTAAAATGAAGTGTATTATTTTTTAAAGTGGGCTGGTTTCCTTACCATTTATTGCGTCAACTTGAGAAAGACGAAGGTGAACCATGCTGTGGGAGACTATCCCTGAAGACTTGTTTGAGAACTTAATAGTTTCATTTTAAAGAGCTCTACATAGGCTATTGCTGCCCTAAGTTAAATAACAATTGAGTCTTGTAATTTGGGTGCTCAAAGGTGAAGACATTGAAAACATCAGGTTTTGTTTTGTTTTTTTGTTTTTTAATGTGGATAGAACATAGTGAGTGCCCTTTCCACTATCAGTCAGACTTTGGAACGGTTGGTGTACGCACAGTTAAACTTTACTTTGGCTGCTTCGGTGGCATACCTTTGTTTTTCTCCTGCACACTTCCACGCTTACACCAGAATATACTTTGCTTTAGTGTTTTTGTTCCTTAGAGATCCTATGGATGGTACTGCTGTGCTTCAAGGTTCTATTTTTCTGGAGAAATTTTTAGCAATAGATTTTAGTTGCCAAGAACCTGCTTATAGAAATTCTATTTTCTACTTCCTGTTCTTGTTTATTACTGTAGTTTTACACAAATAACGCACAACTTCTATGTTTGTTTGCCAGCTGCTCACTCCTCCCACAAGGTATTTTTGTAAGCACTGCTACACCAATTTTTTTACATGTTGTTACAAAAAAAAAATCAGCATAGCGCACTCACAAAAATATCTTGGGAGGGGGAGCGATTGCCAAACAAAAGTAGAAAGCACTTTTTTGCAAAAAAATACGGTAATTGATACCAATGAATACAAAATATCTTTGAGATTATATTAGAGTAACTCAGAAACTCATTTATATATAAAGTGTGTTAGTACGCACGTTGCACAGGTAATGAATGTAGTAATATGGTACTGGTGGTACTAAAGTGGTGAAGATGGCATTATCAGAAAATCAAAATTTAGGCAGGATAAACTTTCAGTTTTCCTGAAGCCATTCCTCTTTTGAAACTTACTGCAGAATTTTTAAATGAGAGATATCCCATGGCTTATTATTTAAGCAAGACTCTTACCCATAGAGGCAGATATACTCTGAAATAATGAAGCTTAAATTTTATAGTTCTTCCCTTGCATGGGGCTCTTCCAAGATTCTGTCATTAATTTCTGTTCACAATTACATATTCTTATAGAACACTTCCAAAACTGTGTAATGTCAGAGTGCGCAAAACCTGGTTCCACCTCTTCCTACACAGCAAACCGCTTGCCTTTCTTGTGCCTCGTGCCATCCTTAGATGAACCACACAAGTCCTCAGACTCTTCATTCCTCCACCAGGAGGTATGAGGTGCTGCTGAAGAGAGTCATGTGGCAGGCGAATTGTAAGCATTACAAATTCACGATCATCATGGACCTTCTGTGCTATCCTACTACATTTTGTGGTCAACTCACACTCCTACTTGCTGTTCACTCTGTTCAGGCCTCTACCTCTTCCTCTCGTTTTCTCTCCTGTACATACAACTGCTCCCTTTCAACAGAATCCATTCTTTTGACACTTGAACATGCTCATGTCTCTTTCATCTAAAAAATGTATTCCTTAATTCAGCATTCAGTCAGTTATCCATCTCCATCTTCCTACCCCTAAACTTCTTCAAAGAACTGTCAACAGTAACAGTTTCGATTTTCTCTTATGCCACCAGCTCTTCATCACACTCCAAGATGACTTCTAGGCCATTCACTCCACTGAAATCCATCTTTATAAAATTACTTCTTACCACTTGGGTCAAGAAATGCAAGATTATGTTCAGCCCTCATCTTATTTGAACTCAGCAGAATTTGGGGCTGATGACCATTTCCTCCTCGACACCCTTGTATCCATCATTTGTATTCTTTTGACACCACACATATTAGGATTTTCTTCCAACCTGTTAAATTTCTGCTTCTCAGTCTTCTTTGAAGGTCCAGTCTACATGGCCATTAGAGAATTCCAGCACTTAATGTTGCAGTGGTTAAGAGTTACAGCTGCTAACCAAAAGGCTGGCAGTTTGAAGCCACCAGCCGCTCCTTGGAAACCCTATGGGGCAGTTCTTCTGTGTCCTCTAAGGTCACTGTGAGTCAGAATCAACTCAACAGCAATGGATTTGGTTTAGAGACAAATAAGCATTATAGTTTCTTTATACATGTTTCCATCAAATGCTAGTCTCCTGACCTGGAATACATAATCCTTTCTGAGTACCTGCACCCTATTTTTGATATCACAGATAGAGGAGCCTTTCTGAAACAAATCAGATTGTATTATCACCACCTCAGATTCTATCATGATTTCCCATTACTCTTATGATAAAATTCTTAACCGAAGTACTAAACTTGGTTTGTAAGACTCTGCACATGCTGCCCCATGCCTCCCTACCTCTCCATCCTTATCTGGCTTCACTCTCCCTTTTTTATTTTATTTATTTTTGTTATCATCACACTATCCTTTTCATTGGATGACTTATTTCATGGGCATTCTTTGCGTTTTATATTTCAGCTGCTTGGAACACACTACTTTTTGCATTTGGTATTCCACCTGGAACACTTTTCTCATATCCTTTGTTTACACCCTCTTGAACAAGTTAATGCCTATCTACTTCGAGTTATCACTTAGGCCCTTCCTTCATGATAGAACTAGGCAGATTTCCTTGGTTATATGCTCTTAGAATCTTCTCCCTTTCTTTAAAAATTCTTATTTTAGTTTGCATTTACACATTCCTGAGTGAGTTGACTAAGGTCTGTCCCCATTTAACTCCAGGCTTAGTGACAATGAGCTGTGTGTCTGTTCCCCCATTATAGCCCATCACCTAGCCTAGTGCCTGGTATAAAATAGGCACTGAAGAAATCCATGTTGAAAGAATGAATAAGTGAGTGAACTTACACCAAGCATTGTATAAAGTGATTTCTATACATTCTTAGTTCATTTTCACAGCAAACACATGTCATTTTTAACATCATAATTATTTTCCTGTTTTTTTTTTTTGGATCAAGGAATTAAAGCTTAGAATATATGCTAAATGAGTGTTGCGTTGTCCATATTTTACATATTAGGGACTGAGACTTAAGTAGATCCTCTTCTGTCCAGTATCACATGACTAGCATGGGCAGGAAATAAGATTGGAATCTAGGCCCATCTGATTCCAGAACCCATGTCAGTGTCAGTATATCATGCTGCCTTCCCACAAATTCCTGTGACTCTTTGGAAGTAATGTTAATCATTCCACTTGAAAAGACCTGAAAATTTATCTAGCACAACTGCATCCATCTATGAGCCAGAAAAATTAGGCCGAGAATATTCAGTGACTCTACCAATTAATTGCAAAGCTACCTAGTGACAGAACTGAAACTAGTATTGATATCTCTTGACCCCTGAGCTAATGCCCTTAGAAATACTGTTTCTAAAGTAAATCTGTCATGCTTCTGCTTAGTTAAAGTGTTGAGAAAAGTAAGCTTCCTACAATTAAAACTGTAGTTTATAATTTTATCTTTGAACACATACAGAGATATAGGAATATATGGCTTTCAAATAAACCTAAATATTGGGAGAAGATAACCATAGTAATGTCATGGAAAGTTTTATGTAATGCTTAAGATATAATGTGGAAAGAAAAGGACCAAAAACTAAAATATATGTTTTCCACATATGGAAGTTTTATGTAACTGATCTTAGTTGTCATTTTTACTTCTGCATGATGTTTGTTGAGGAAGGACAGGGCTTGAGTCCGTTCATTCCCATTGTTTTACTAGAACTCCACCTTTCTCCACAGGTGTCTAAGAGGTTATATAGCATGGGCTGTTATGAGATCTCTTTGGGAGACACAATTGGAGTGGGAACTCCAGGAAGCATGAAAAGAATGTTGGAAAGTGTCATGAAAGAAATCCCACCAGGTGCACTTGCTGTTCACTGTCATGACACGTACGGACAAGCCTTAGCAAATATCCTTACAGCCCTTCAGGTATTTTCTGTTCTGTGTGTGTGTGTGTGTGTGTGTGTGTGTGTCCTTATTTTTAATATAACATTGTTGAGAGCTTTAATGAGATAATGTTTATAAAGTGTTATAAACATGATGATTAAACAGTGCCTGCCATATGACAGGCACTCAGGAAATGTTTGTAACATGCACATGTTTGTTAGGGCAACAAGGTCTCTTATTACTGTTTATTTGATATGAAAAATCTGTCAGTTTGTTCTTTTTAAAGTATTAATACCATCAAAGCTATGTTTGTTTCGACTTCCATATGCTCTCAGCCACATAACTTAATAGACTGAAATATGATGGCATTTTGAGGAATGCAGAGCACAAAATGGTATAGTGTTCTGTTGTAATCATGTAACTAATGCTCCATTTGGTAATTTGGTGCTCTATGATGAGAAGTTACAATGCTGAAGTATAGAATCTTTTGTTTAAGATGTTTTCATGATGTTGGCAGGCATACTTGTGACATAACCTCTGTTTCTTATCAAGTATATTCTATTAGGTGATCACAGTTAAGAGATCTAGAAAGTTGGTGGATTAACAATTATTTATTAAAACCTAATGACAACTCAGTTATTTTGTATGTATTTATTTAAGAGGTCAATAGCATTTTAAGAGTATTATTTTAAAATTAATGTTAGTTTCTTGAACTCAGCCAAAAAAACTTTAATTTGATGTTCTTTGAACCCAAGATTTTGACAACTAAAGATAAGACTATCTGAAAACTTTATGGTGAGACTGAAAATCAATACGTAAAGCTTAATGTCACAGTCCTAAAGTGTACAGTTGCTTGGCTGAAGTTAAAAGACAATGTGAACATCAAGCCCCACAAGGGCTTATTTTGACTATGTTACATATGGGCACAAATCCTTACTTATCCTCTGGCAGCAGGCAAGGAACGTTGTATTGAATCGGAAAGAAGAAAAAATGTTATATCCCGTGCTCTTTTGGGTGTGGGAATTTTTACAATTTTCCTTCCCTAAGTATCCTGGTTTCTAAAACAATAAAGAACTAGGCAGCACTTCAGGAGTTTGTGTTCAGCTGCAACTGTAACTTATTAAACTTTCTGGAGCAAGTTCCTGAAGAGCTAGTGTGTTCTCTCTCTCTCTCTTTTCTGTATGAATAGATCTTATATATGGTAACACTTTGAGAAATATAATATTTTATTAGGATAGTGTATTTTTATTATGTAATGAATGCTAGTTAATTTATTTCTCTGTGATGAAGAGCTATAGTACACAATCTGGGAACTCAGACTTCTGCTTCAGGGCTCTGTCACCTCTTGAAAATGCCCGCAAGTGAAACATTGCAGATGCCCCAATGTGATTTTAATAGTTAAAAGGAAGGCCTGTCTGAGGAGGTAATATTTAAAATCAGATCTAAAGAATGAGAAGGAACTAACCACAGTTGGTGTGTGGGGTGAGGAGGGATGTGTGTAAAATGGTTCAAGCAGATGAAACAATATTTTGGCAAAAGGCTTTGGGAGAAGGGTGGATCATGTCATAGGAACTGAAAGAAGAATAATGTATTGAGAGGAGAAAATAAAGTTTAGAAAATTTGCTGAATTAGGGAATGCACAGTTTCTACTTCAGAGAGGTGAGAACTGACATCTAGGGTATTTTCCCATCCCATCATAGCCATAAAGGGGGACAAGCAACAACTTTGGGTCCAAGAAAGATGCGGAGCATGGATGAGAACCTGGATAAAGCCAGGACCCCAAAAGACCAACCTTCAGTGAGAGGGTGAACCACCAGAAATTTCACCCCACAAAAGGAGATACCAAGCATATTCATTTGGCACAATCTTGACTATGGGTGGAGGAGAAATGCAGCTTCCTGTGTTCGTAACCTTTTGTTGATCCTTATGTGGGTTCAGAGTCCAAATTCACATTGCCTTCAGAATTTGAAAGTCCATGCAGATACATTTTTTCAAATGATAGCATCATTAGGGGATGGGGAAGAATACAAATCTTTTCTGAAGGAGAACATCTTCAACCCAAGCCACTGAAAACTATTTGCGGGGTGTGTGTGTGCATGCGTGTGTATGCATGTTGGGGAGGAATAGATATTCTGTTCTTCAGCAGCTTCTGTGGTAGATAGTAGGAAATTTGTCTATAAGCATCTGTAATCGTATTTTCTATGTGCACAAGCTCTGTGTATGTATGAGAGGCAAGGGGACAGAGGGAGGCAGGGAGTCTGGGATTGCAGGAGTATGCTTTCCAGCTTTGTGCTATACGTCCCCAGAGCAAAATTTATAGCCACAATGTAGATAGGTAGATAAGAGGTTAACAGTGGTTTGCATAATAAACAACATGATGTGAAGTCAGAGAGGCTAATATAAATGAACAATTGCAGAGATGGTCAAAAAAGCATGGATTTGCTTAAGGAAGCTAAAAATGTTGAAGAGTTGTAGAGCTTTTTGTCTTCTCTGCCATCCACTGTCATGGACTTCATAGGCTGTAAGCCATTGTTGACATACGAAAGAAATATACTCCACTGCTCTCTTGAAACCGTGCACCACTGTGGGAATCTTAAAATGTTGTAGTACTTCCGTGTTTATAAAGCCAGCTGAATGTGGTAGGTGGACTGTCTTTGCAAGAACTCACCGGTGAGGGGCATGAAGTGCAGTACCAAGTAAGAGTGAACCCAGCAGAGTCCTCTTCTCATCCTTCTTACTTCCTCCCAACAACACATCCAGGTTTAACTCTAGTGGAGGAGAAAAAGTGTCTTGGAAAAAACCTTACTGTGTTTAAATAGAAGGGAAATTATAGAAAATACAGCTTCATTATGAACATGGTTAACCTTGGCTTCAGGAAGCAGTGGTCATACTTCATTATTTAAAACAGAACCTTTGAAGTGTCTTCTAATAAAATTGATGGTGGATGTGGAGTGGATATCATTTGCTTTAATTTTGGGGTGGGGAAACAGTTTACAGTGCTCCAAACTGGAAGTTAATATTAAGGCAAGGAGACATGTAATAAGTGGAAACTTGGCCACAATGATAGGAAACAAATGAGAGTTATAAATGGAACTTCCCCCCTGTCTGGAAAGCACATACTAATCATGTAATAGAAAGATCTCGGGCTCCCAGGTTTTATTGTATTTTGTTTTTATTACTTAAACATATGACTTACAGGACTAGAGATGATTGTATGGGAGGCCAAAATTCATAGTTATCAGTTATGATTGTCTATAGAGAAATTATTCTTAGAATGTAGATTTAAGTGTAGGATGTTTAGAACCACTCTAAATCAAAAGAGATTGAAAGTGAGGTGACAACATGTACAAAATTTTAGTCATGGAACAAACTTACGTGGCTCAATATTCTTGTCTTAATTTTTTATGTGAAAATTGAGCTTCATTCTCTGCATATTCCCAAGTACTTGACAAAACACCAGTTAACAAATAGTTTAATCTACTTGATGCTCGACAATTGCTCAGTCTCTGTTTTTCTCCACAGAGATGATTTGAGTTTTTATAATTGGGTGAACCCATTGCCGTCAAGTCGATTCTGACTCATAGCGACCCTATAGGACAGAGTAGAACTGCCCCATAGGGTTTCCAGGGAGCAGCTGATGGATTCAAACTGCTGACCTTTTGGTTAGCAGCCAAGCTCTTAACCACTGCATCACCAGGGCTCCATAACTGAGTAAAAACAAAACAAATGAGATCTAGTATCACAAATAACAGTCTCACGTTAGTTGGTATCATAGAGACAAAACAGAACAGGCAATATTTAGCCTTCTTCTGAAGAAATCTTGTGCGCCTTTTTTTTTCCCCTTAAACTTAAGTATACTTTTGGATGATGTGCTTTTCCTCATAATGTTTTCCATGTTTTTTATTCCCTTTTAGGAAGAACAAATTATTTACCCAATTTTTACATCAAAAGCATTCATTTTTTATATTGACTCTAAACTACATTTAAATGCCTAAAATAAACAACCAATCTTCATGCATTTTGTTCTGAGGATCTCAAAAACAATTTTTAAAATTGTCATCAATAGCCAGATGAGCCTCTGTTTCTCAGTTCCTTATCTGTAGAATGGATGTAATGATGCCCGCCTCCCCAGATTTTGCAAAAATGACATGAAATGAGATGTCAAGTTTCTAGAACAATGACTTGGTTACAGTGTACTGGATTAATACTATTATTGTAATCATTATTGATATGATTGTTCATACTAATAACAATAATAACTTTTATTCAGATTACTTGTGATTAGAGCCAAGATACATAAAGTATTGCATCACAAATTTGTTTTATAAATACTTATAATAGCTATTATTCATTTCTTCAACATCTATTAAGCAGGTAAATATATATAGATATACAAGAAAGAAACAAAAGAGGATTACATGGGCAAAGAAGCTGAAAATGGATGGCTCTAAAGAGATTTTACAAAATGCATCATTCGTTTATTCAATAGATATTTATTTTATCAGGCACTGTTGTAGATTAATATGTTAAAGGCTTTGAGTAGTACTGTAGTCAAGAAAGCTGTTTGACTTAGTATAAATTAGTATTTACAAAAGCTTTTTGATTATGAAATAGTTTTTCTTGCAGTACCATTATTAACTTCAGAAACATTTTGAAATATTAACATTATTAACTGTTAGAAAATATTCTTACAGGAAGGTGAGATGATGTGTAAGTTACCACTGAAGCATTTTTAAAAAGCAGGAAAGAAGCATAGCAGAAGTGTGACACTCTCCAGTTTTTAAGTGTTTATAACCAGAGCTCTTGAGCCACGGTAGTCAGTGAGAGAAAGATGAAAAATGTAACATTATGTATTTTCTAGTGGTTGTATTGCTTCTATCGATGAAGAATGGGTACACATCTGAATAATTTTGTTTTCTGTAATTTACCTTTAACAGCTTTTTGTTGTTGTTAGCTGCCAACAGTTCAACTCCAACTAATGGCAACTCCATGTGCAGCAGAGCGAAATGCACCGTCTTCACGATCCTTGGTATTTTTGAGTC